TCGGAACGATTTGGATCAGATAGGAAACGGATCCAATGTAGCCGTAACCTAAGGCAGTGGCGTAACCGGGAAAAAAACCTATGGGGGGGGGGGGGCAATATAATATATTTATTATTACCAAAACCCTGACACCCCTCACCAGTTAAAACATATTTGTATTGTATGTATTTTATACAGTAGATCTAATTGTTTGATTTTACATAAGTCTTTTAAGTCATTTTATGGTTTAGATAAACATAAATTGTAGGTAGCATGTACTAGGTACCAATATTGTTAAATAATATCCATAAGAGTTCATTAATAAAAGGTGCTATTTGTACTGTTGGGTTATCTGGGGAGGGGGCAAAATTATACCTTTATCTCTCAAAAAATGGTCAGAGGGGCCACTGGCCTAACGTATGTAATCGTATAACATGTATGCCAATCTGGTAATTTTTAAATTTACAATTTTGATTAAGGAAATCACAATTTGTATCAGTAAGATAATAATATAATAGTCAACCATATAAAAAATGTATATATATACGATGAATTGTTCGCGCGGTGAATTATGCACCCGTTGAAAGACGCATTATCTGTATATATAAAATTACTTGTCCTGAGTGATTCATATCATCGCCTAATCGGAACCGCTAAAGATAAGAGTATGACATTTGAATAGAAGTTTTATTTCATGTTGTAGACACCCACTAAGAAGGGATTTGTCAAAATTCAACCCCTGCAAAGGTTAAAAGGAACGAAAATGGAAAAAATCCCCTAGCCGAAACCACTGAAGCTATGAGTTTGAAATCTAGTCAGTAAGTTCATTTTATGATGCGAAAAAACCCATAGAAAATATATTTAAAAATTCAAACCCTACAAGGGTTAAAAGGGATAAAAATGGAAAAAATTGATAGAAAATTATATGTTTATATGCACCTCGGTCAGTGCATTTACTATGAATAATTAAGTAGTTATTATTAAAACTGTATCATAAAGATATTAGAGATATGTTTTTTACTATAACTGCTTGTTAAAGTTAATATAATAATATATTTAATGAAACCATGGATAGCTGATATATCTCGGATATATATTAATGCCCGAATTTAACACTCCATCGATAATGTATTATATTGTATTTGGATTTTAAAATAATCATGGCGGCACGTGTAATAAATGATTATGTTTTTAGTGTTTTTGGCTATTTTTAATAAAACAAGGTGATCTAATAAATAACAATACAAATTTTTGTAATAATAGTAATAATACAGAAAACATTTTTTCAAGTAAAAATCTATACGGTATGTTATAATTTTGTAGGCATATTTTATTTAAACATTTCTACGATTAGAATTGCATTTTACAATTTATCTTCGAGATATTAAATTATACTAATCGCTTGCCAATTTCTGGTTTTACTATACCACGGGCAATCTAGGGTCAACAAATCATCTGAAAGCAACCTGTAATATAAAACTGATGAAATAAAAAGTTACACGTAGGTAACACGAAAAACTGCACACGGGCGAATCCGGGTTATTCGGCTAGTAATACATATTCCACGTTACCCGCTCATGGATTCCTTTCGAAAACACGATCGCAATGTTTCGGGAAGAAAAACGAGAACAGACACGTCGGGTTTATCGGTTGCGTTGAAAGCGTGTTTGTTAGTATTATCATCGCGCCGTCGCGTTGTTTCGGATACGTGGAACCGTTTTTTTTTTTTCCCCCCCCCCTCCCGAAAAGCCGCAAACGTTGTGTACGGTACGATCGTAAATCATCATTGTAGCGCTGAAGTACTACTGGAACATACCGTTTCATTGTCGCAGCGGCGCAACAATATCCGTTGGCTCGACAACGTTATGCCGCGACACCGCACCGGACACGATGCGTTGCGTTGCGGTTGACGCCGAGACGGGCTCACGTGAACGCTTAGGCCTCGGGTACGACGTTGAGCGATTATTATTTTCATCGTCATGAATTGTCGTTCTAAAGGCGGGTTTACACCGGCACGTGAGCCACGATCTCGGATGGCGAAAACGTGGCTTGCGGTCCGCGTGAACACAATCGATTCGCGTGTTTCACGGCAGTGGAATCGGAACCTGTCACGGCCGGTCCGTGCAATACCAAACCATGCTGATGGGCATTTCAGTCGTCAAAGCTCAGCGCGGTGTACGACGGAACGCTTCCGCCGCGTTAACGGTTATTCCGTCTCGCCGAAGGACAATCGCGTTCACGCGTAAAAACCTTCACGATTCGTGCGATGCTTTTTTGATATCACGCTCGTGAGTCGCAACCCACAAACACGGACGTGCCTCACGATTACATCGTCTCGTCTTAGTCTTAGTCGTATCGTCTCGTGCACGTCCGTCTTTGTACGTCTCGTCAGCGGCCACGTTGGTTTCACCGCGAGCGACTGAAGAGTAATACGCGCGCGTTCGCGTTTAACGAAACGAACCCGGTCGGTGTACCGATCTACGTGTTGTAGTGTTACGCGATCCCGATAACATCGATTCGGTTCGCAGGAGCGTACGAGACGGACTAAAACGATGTTCAAACGTCGCGATGGAAAATCGGTCAACTTACGCGTTTTAGCGAGCAAGAAGATAATCGTAAAACCAATTTTTTTTTTTTTTTTTTACTTACGGTCGTTGTTGTGTTATATGTTCATTTGACGTGTAACCGAGCACATACGAGTACAAGACAGAAGACTAACAAACAAGTCTTCTGGGGGGGGGG